CATCTTCTTCTCCAGGGTCCCCTTCTCCGCTAGCCTCGGCATGAGGTAGTCCCGGGGGTAGCCAGCGTGGTTCTTTAGCAGGCTGAAGCCGGCAAGTAGCCAACCAGGGTCCTCGAAGTACGCCCTCTCCGAGATGCAAACAGGTAGCTCCCGGATGCGTCTGTTAGCCCCAGTCGTCTTGGTCCGCCTCAAGATCGTCGATAGCCTGCCTTCCACCATGGTTAGCTCGTTGGGGATCATAGCCTGGAGGTCGGACCAGCTGCCCCACACTTAGCCCAGGCCCAAACGCGCCACCCCACGGCGACGCTAGCATCTAATACTAGCCGCTCCCATCTCACCAGGATGGCCGCCGGGTACCTGGGTGCTCTCCTGGTCCAAGGCGCCTTTCTCGACCACCGTGTCCTTGATCGCCCATGCTATCCGACGCGAGGTTGCTCTAGCCTCGACCGACCACTCCGCCACTCGCTCTATCCAGCTAACCGCCTTGAGGATAGCCTCCGGGACGGTTCTTCCGCAGGGCTCATCGCCCCTAGCCATGATATAGTCTGCGAGGTCTGCGGGTAGCCCTGGTGGTCGCCCATCTTTCGCCTGCTCTAGCCATAGGCCCCAGCGGGCGTAGATGGAGACGTAGCGCTTGAGGGCACTAGCCCGCGTCTTCCCAGCTAGCGCCAGTATGGCTCTATCCGGGTCCCCACTGCCCTGATGTTTCTTCAGGACAGGCGCCTTGCAAAGCTCTAGCTCCTCCTTCAGTCTGGTAGCCCAAGTAGCCTGTAGCCGTTCTTCTCTCGCCTGTGCCAGGGAGCCCTCGTTGACCAAGCGTTTCTGCCTATCCCCCTTCGGAGGTTCTGGCTCGCTATCCTTTTGAAGGTCTATCCCTTCAATCGCCGGCCGCTTGCTGAGGTTCATCCAGGCCAACGAGGTAGCCTTGTAGCCAGAGGTCCTCTCAACAAGGTCTCTAGCTTCACGGGCGAGTCCCCGATGTACTCGTCGTAGCCCACGCCGAGTTCCTCAGCTACCTGGTGCCCCACCTCTTCCGCGTCCTCAAGACTAAGGGTAGCCAGCTCGAGTACACCGAAGCCCCGCGACGCCAGGTGCTCGTGGCACCTATCCAGCACCGCACGCTTCTGTACCAAGGCGCTATCCCTCAAGGACGGGAAGGCAATGGGACTCCCTATCCCGCCGGGTGGAGAACTCGGTCCCGCATCCGGCTCGCTCGGTAAAACCGTCGGCAGGATGGACGGACTCTCCAGCTGCTCTCCCCCAGGACTAGCCGGAATCACTGTCGTAGCCGGTGATCTGGGACTCTCCGTTCGCGAAGCAGAGGGGGTGCGAGGAGAGGCCGCCATTCTCGCTTGGCTAGTTAGCCAAGTTCCCCTTCTCTCCCCTCTACTTCAAAATTACCCCCCTGATGGGGGACTTTATCCAGAATGGCAACGGTCACACACATTCGTAGCCATTCCAAGTCACAGCTATCCTGTCTTCGCATGTCAGAGGCAACTCTCCTGCGAGCGACGATAGCGAACGAAACTTCGTTTCTAGCGAAGCTACCTTCAATAGCTTCGAGTGGAAATAGGTTAGCTAGCACACATAGTCGTAACTCGTTCCTCGTCACGAGGTACGATAATCGAGAAGCTCTATAAGAGCTTTGAGTTCGCCGGTGTTATTGGAGCCAGGAAGTTCCGGGAGGTACTGGGTAGGGGCTGCGCGGACCTTGCTTGCCCCAGGATCGGAACCAAGTGTCGTCTACAGGAAAACGTTCTGGTAGGGAGGGGTGTCCTAATCTGCTACGGCTACCGGCTAAGGTGAGACATTTTCTGTTGCCCCGGAGGGCATAACGTAAGTGGTTTGTAACGTAAGTGCTCGTCGTCCTTTGCGTCGCCTGGCGCTCTAAAGGCACCTCTGTAACATAAGTGTTGGTAACTGAAAGTCCTGCATGGTCCCACATGTTTTGTCCCGGTATTAGACGGGTATACCGGGTAAACCGAATGCAAACGCAACAAGACTATGCAGCATCTCCGGACGGGCTTTCGAGTCGAAATAGTCTATGACTGTCTCGAGATTCTTCCACGCCAAAATTTCTTTACAAACACACAACCACGAATCAATGCCTGCCTCTGAAGCGGTGTCTCTGCCGACCCCGGCTCCATGGGATGATCGAAACCCAGGACCTGCTCCAGTACGATGGCATTCGGCGAATCCTCTGAGGTCAAGAGACGGACTGCATCCCTGAATGTCACTGGGTACAGAGGATGCTCCGTCATGCTCTTGCAGCGCCTATCCGCCCTCTGTTCACTGAAAGGGTCACATGGTGTGCCCATGACGGCTAAGTCGATCTGCCGAGGTCTCCCACGTGAGGCGGCTGCCGGATGAAGCAAGCAGCGACATTTCCTGTTCTGGTCTTGGAAGTTTGCGTGCAAGTGCTGAGGCTTCCGATTCGCTAGCAGGACTTTCCGGAAGGCGGGATCGGGCTCTGATGCCCCGACGTAGACGTAGTCGATGCCAAGAGCCTCCAAAGCCATGGTGCATTTGGCAACCAACCAGTGTAACCAGTGACCAGCAGACTAGCAGCTTAGCAGTGACCAGCAGCCACTCGCAGACCGGACTAGCCAAACACAATCAATGGAATCTGCCGCAGTAACTACATCAAGACTTGAATCAAGCCTGTATCTCAGCTGACCAGAGCCTCCAGCGCAGCTGCTTCTGTGCCCGCTCCGGTGCATGCGCTAAGCAATCTCACCGGATGCTCCGAGGAGGCTTGCCCTCCCGGATGGAGCGCCCGTGTCGCCGCCTTGATCGTCTGCACAAACCATGGGTCCGATGTCTGCGGTGACAGCGGAACAGGCGCATCATCGCCTTCAACTGAAGACGAACGGCATGCATCTGCCTCTGCTTGCAAATCCGATTCTGCTTGCGAGCTTGACAGCTCCTCCTGCAGCACCTCCGCCCACCCCGAGCTCCCCATCAAGCGACTGCCCAAGCTCTACGACTCTACATGGTGAATCTGTTCACCGTCGAGCGGGACTTTCGAGCACATGACACGCAAAAAAAAAGATTGTATGACGTTGGAGCATCTCTTCATGCTTCAATCTTGGACATGACAAAACGCACGAACAATCGCCGCAGTTCTGGATGTTGATTGTTACTCACGCTAGCTGCTAACATCCCCACTACTGCTGAAACATTGGCAACTGTGATAGCAACAGCACCGGAAACAGCTTGCAGAGTTGTCTCCGTAGAGGCAGCAATTATTTTGAGCTGTCATGGTTTGGGTGCTTTGGCCTTAATGGCCGTGCTACCAGGTAGAAGCCTGCAAACATGGTAATTGGCTTAGATTATCACTAGTCACGAGGACCCAATCAGAACTATACTCGTAGTGGTCACACCCATCACCGTGATGTTGCTGCTTCTTTGCTTAGGCCGCATGTTGATTATGACGTTGTTGCTTTTCTTGTTGTTGTTTTTTGGTTTTGTGTTCGTTGTTGCTTTTTTCTGTTTTTGTTTTGTTTTTTCGTTGTTGTGGTTACAGGCTAGGTGTACGTGTTTGGTTTTTTTGCTTTTTTTGGTTTTGTTTATCTTTTTGACATATCCCAGAAGTTAAAGGATTTAATTTCTTAAGCCTAGCCCTAGCAAGATCCCGCCAGATAGCAAGCACCTATCCGAATCCGTTCACATTCCGAAGCGCCGGCTTGACCAGCTTAACAGAGGAAACATTATGATGTTGCTGCAAGGAGGCTTGGAGCGCCGCCAGGCTGGGCTGTTGCATGGCAGCAATGTCCTCAGTAGATTTGGCCGCGTGTCCTGCGCGTGCAACTTGATGTTCTTTGGTCTTCCACGGCTGCCAGGACTGGGGGAAACTTGCAAGAAGGATCTCATGCCCTGATGTACGCCAGCTCGCTATTGGTGCAGTGATGGTCCCGCATGTTCTGGAAGTTTTGTCCGCCTGCTGCTGTCTGATGAGGATGTAGTCTATCTGCGAATTTCCAGAAGGATGCTTGTACGTGTACTGCTTCCTGCCCCAAGTGTTCAGGGCCACTAGGCGATGACGTTCCAAGATTTCCATGACATCACTCCTCTCTTGACGGAGCTCCAAGTTTTGGCTGCCAAGATGAATACCCTTACCCGAAACCCTGACAAGCGGCTGAAGAACCGTATTAAAGTCACCCATAAGCACTAGTCTTTCTGTTTTCACAATGATTTGATTTATCGTGACAAAATGCGCATTCAATCAATCTGTATTTGAGAATCGCAATCTATAATATATATAAAAATTCCTCAGAAGAACTCGCTCACTCGGACTCGGTCTTTTTCCGTCGGGGGTCTCACACGGTAGGGCGAGTCTGTGAAAATTTTAGCAAAGCTCTGCACAGTGCATGCTCAAGTTGCGTGGCTCATGAGCAGACTAAGTTGTCTTCATGTTGCACATGTGCGCTGAGCCATGCTGTGTTGAGCGGCGCGGGTACCGACATATGGTTCAACTTCGATCAACATGTGCAGTCAGAATGCATGTGTTGTTTGAGTGAAGTTGTGAGTTGATCTCAAATTGGTTTCAAAGAAAATGTTGTAGAAATGGTTGTGAGTCAAAAGCTCACTTCAAACATGCAATAAACAAACGATAAATAATTAATCATTGCGCTGCTGGACCGGCAGCTATGAAAACAGAAAAGACAACTTAGTCGCTCCGCGAAATCGCCGTCTTTCTGTTTTCACAATGATTTGATTTATCGTGACAAAATGCGCATTCAATCAATCTGTATTTGAGAATCGCAATCTATAATATATATAAAAATTCCTCAGAAGAACTCGCTCACTCGGACTCGGTCTTTTTCCGTCGGGGGTCTCACACGGTAGGGCGAGTCTGAAACTTCGAATGTGGCACAGACCACAGGTTTCGGGTTTCGGTTGAGGCACGAGCAAATACGCGGTAGGATTCGCAATCGCTCAATTGTGCATGATACCGATTCTGCCCCAACACGCATAACCCCCTTTAAAAGTGACCGGTCTTACTTGAGCAGCTTCCAAGGTATCTGTACAGTCGATTTGCACAACTCTCCTAGAATTTCCGCCTTCTCCTGCAGATCAACGATCGTGCCACCAATGACCTTCGCCGTCTCGGCGATCTCACCACGACTCGGCCCGTCTGCCACGTTGCTGGCAGACGGAACCCTTTCTAGCCACGTTAAGCTTTGATCCAAGTTTTCCATCTCGAAGAAGCGCGATCCCAAAAGCAGAAGCGTGCGTGACTTGCTCGCTCCTTTAATCAAGACTTCTCTCGCGCCCTCGTTGTCGATGAAGTAAATGGTTCGTCTGCCGTGTATGAAATTTCTGAAAGCTTCTCTTGCGAGGACCACGGCGAAAGCTTCGGCCTGAGCAATCACCTGTTCAGGACTGTCGAGCTTCCAGAATTCCACCAAAGTCTTCGGGATGCGACCTCCGGCCACCAGCTTAGAAGAAGTGAATGGATCCAGGACCACCACGCCGTAAGTGGCGACACCTTTTTCGTAAGCTGCATCAGTGAAGATCAACACCGGTTGTTCTGGCCCTCGGCAGGCGAAGACTCTCGGTTTGCACTCGTCGATCAAGCGGATCCCGAACTCGCAAAGTGTCCTGAACTCACTCGCGCTGCGATCTTCAGGATTCCTGATGAAGCTTCCAAGTGCACGCTGCAGCATCTTCATTGCCCTTCCCGAAGCAAAGCCCAAAGCGAAGTTCACTTGCCCTTGCAGCGACTGAATCTGCCGCAGATCCCATTCACCATTCAACGCCATGCGGATGAAAGTATCTTTCATCTTCTCCAGCCTTGATGCCTTGTTTTGGAGCACCACGACGCCATTGGAGATGTCGCCTGCATTAAGACGGATTCCAAGTAGGTCGAAGCTCTCATTGAAAGGCGAGGTTTTGGCTGGGTCGTTGGAATACCTCCACCCGATCTTCCTCAGCAGGTGTTCGAACGATTCAGAAACAAGCTTCGCGGAAGATTGGATTTCAAGAAGCGGGAAGTCGTCGTAGAAGCATCCTGAGATCATGCCAATCAAGTTCCAGCTCAGATGCAAGATCGATCTCGACAGCCTGTTGAAAGCAAACACAGACGATGATGCACCGAAGGGCAGACTCTGGGCTACGAAGTAGCAAGGCTTGCCGCTGTTAGGGTCCGTGACCATGACGACCCCCAGTCGCAGCGACTCCGTTGAAAGTGGAACTTGACGATACGCCTTTTCCAAATCCAGCGTTCGCCCCTGCCAGACGGGCTTCTTAGCCTTCCAAGAAGAGTGCAGCTCTCCGCGTAGAATTTCTCCCGTGCTGAGAACAATTTCCAAAGCACCGGTTCCATCCGAGACCCGCGCGATGTAAGTTGCCATCGCCGTCATCCAATTGACATCGAACAAGGCGAGCTTTTCGAGGCTATGGTAAGCTTCGTTGACCCCGCCCTCCTTGTAGTTGTCGATCGGTCGAAGTTTGGGCCTCTCCGGCGTGCCCTGCTCGATAACGAACCTTCTCGAACAGACGAACTCCTCCACTCCAAGGTGCTTTTTCACTTCGTCCTCATCGTAGAACGGCCCTGTGAGAAAGCCGTCGTCCCGGTCCTTTAGAGTGCAATCCCAGAGTTGCCAGGTCGCCTCCGGATCTTTCTCGTGCGGATCACGGCTCTTGAGCCTCTCTCTGCGCCAGCGAGCTGATTCAAGGAGAAGCTCAGGTGTGGATGTAGCCGGCGATTCCTTGGTTTCAAACAAGGGTGATTTGTCTGGCTTGCCCACCAGATCGACGCCCATCATCAAGTCGAAGACTCCTTCATCAGGAAATTTGGTCTCCTTCAGCAATTGTGCCCATAGCAGAAGGTTCTTTCCCTTGATGACTTCGCGAGTGTGGTCAGGCAGGGGTTGAATGCAGTCGCGCCTCCTCGTAGCGAAGTTCTTTCTCCATCTGGTTGAGCCTGTTGTAAAGTCTGAGCCTCTCTTCAGCAAAAGCAGATGGTCCTTCGGTCAGCCGTCGGAAGATGTTCCTTTTGACGGCATCTGGGACACAGTGCTGGGTGTCAAAGGGATGGCTGAGCTTTAGGGCACAATCGATGAACTCGGTAGGCGTTCTGTACACCCCGAACCTCCCGGAACCACCCCCTAAACCCGAGGTAAACTCCTTAAAGGGCCTATCTAGGGGAGCCTCGGTGCGAAACTCGAGGAACTCCGGGATTAGCTTGTGGCTCCCACGTGGCTGGGGCCAGACAGCGCGTGGACCTGCCGGCGGTTCCAAGCAGGAGGGCAAACCGGCTGTCGCGGCCAGCAGTTGCGACACCTCCTGGCACAGTTGAGGCGGATATTCCGCCTCTTCAGCGGTACTGAACCTCCACTGTCGGCCGGTCTGATAGACCAGGTAGGGATCATGTTGATGCTGATTGTCGCACTCTACAGCCATGCTAGACAAGCGAGAATCACTGCACCGAAAGCGACTGTGCTTGGGTCTGCGACCGCCTTTCATGCAATTGTGGAAGCGAACATCTATCATGCGGCGCCACCTCTCAAGTAGGGCAGGGTCTCGAGATTGTTGCACGAAGTACGCAAGCACTCCCCAAATCCAGGAATTATTGGGGTTCTCGATGCTTAAAAAGGTGGATGAAGGTAGGGCCCTAACGAGCTCCACAACGAAACGACACAATTCGTTAGCCTTGCGAACCCTTGCTTTGTCGGAGTCCGACAGGTTGGGGAGGCCCAGAATGTGATCGTTATCCCTCAACGGGACAGGTTCAGGAGCACCTGCCAATCTCGCCTTCTTGCTGATGGGCCTTTCTCGGGCTCGGCTACCCGTGCCACAGGGCAAGGCAATGTGAATGGCAAATGGTGGATGCAACAAGAGCCTGTCCAGGAGCTGTTTTTGACACGTGGTTTCCGTAAGGTCCAGCACAAGAAGCGGGTGTTCAGGTACGTGACGGTTCCAAGGAGAGTCAATCGCTAAAACGTCAAACCCCAAAGCCTGGCAATGCTTGGAAAGCCGTGCGCAGCCTGCGAAGATCTCGACGAAGAGAGGGTTGCAGGAGTCGGCGACAGCAAGGGGGGGCTTAACGGGCTCGGGATTAGTCTTAGGGATGGGCCTTGGACCCGCGGGGGGCAAGGGAAACTCTAGGTCCTCAAGGAAAGTTCGCGTCTCCTGAGGCATTCAATCGGCTCCTCGGGCCGTGTAGCCCACCAGAACACTGCGCTCGCCCTGCCAGGCCAAAGTGGCGTGTCGGCGGTTCGGCGCATCAAGATAGCAAAGCCCCTGGGACACCGGCAGTGAATCTCCCCAGAGAATCTCGCCCTGGTGTTCGAAAGGAACCTTTCCCTGGGGAGACTCGATCCAGACATCTCCGCCAGAAAATTTGGACAGCGGATAAAGAAGGTTGCAGCTTCTCGAATCGTTGGCGGTATCTTGGTGAAGCTGTGTTCGAAGATTTGTGAAGACGGCAATGGTTGTGCAAGTAAAATCCTTGTCAAGCTGATGTACGAATCTTGCAAAAACTTTGGTACTCAAGGGGTACTGCTTGCTGGTGTCACGTACCTGCAAGCACTGCGATCCTGAAAAAGCAAAGGCCCCCAAACTAACAGAGCGCCCTCCGGAACCGGTTCCTCGGGAAGGGATTTCAGAAGGCAATGCTAAACTAAGACGAAAAAGATCATCGGAAGTAACAGTGGGCTGAGCAAGGAGCCGGTCGGCCAACTCCTCAGCCGAAAGACGCTTGCCACCGGTCTCGTCATCCCTGAATGAAGGAGTCATCACGCCGGCAGCTTCAGAATCTGGTCACTGAAACTCTGGGCACTCAGAGGCCGGATGCGGCTCCAAACACTTCCAGCACAGGTGGCGGCCTCGGCGACAGCGCTTACCGGGTTTGGCGAACCCGCAGCCCTTGGTGTTAAAGCTGAAACACAGCGGCTTTCCAGCCGAATCCTGAGAGTGGCAACCCTGCGGGACAGACCACTTCTTGGCTCCTGAGTCACTGGGTTTCTCCGCGCCGGGAGTGTCCTTGCGAATCTTCAGGGCTTTCTGATTTTTGTCCTTGCCGCCCCCTTTCCCGTCCTTGCTGGGCGGGCTGTTGGGCACATGCGGAGCTGGGGGCGGAGGCACAGATCGCATCAGCGGAAGCAGGTAGCACTGAACCTGCGTGTGATCCTTCCACTTTGCAAGCGAGACCTCAAAGGGGTACGAGCCGTCTGAGCGCATGGACAGTGAGCCACGCGTGTCCTCGGCGATCCTCGTCCACAGGAACTTGTCGGCTTCACGAAGCTGAGCAATCGAAACTCGCTGATGGCCGGATGGCTGGGTACGCATGTGCACCTGCAGCAACTGATCATGCCAAGATTCGAGGTACTCGTAACGGCAGATTCGGGCCAATTCGAAAGCCAAACTCCTCCGCTGAAGTGCCAGTTTAACGGCGTATTCGCCTATGGTACTGCAGGAGGGCTCAGCTGAGCGTTTCACGAGCTTGAGGTTCCCGGCGCTGTCGAAGCTGACCGATTGATCGGTTTTGTCTGATGTGATTTCCAAAGCTCGGCTCGTGAGGCGATCCCACGGAATCCAAAGCAAGGACTGATCAGAAACCATCTGAAACCAAGTCTTGCAGCTTATGGGAAGGCTCAATGTCGGATGTCCAGTGAATGCCCACAAGTCTCTTCTGAAGAGCAGCCAGGCGTTGTGTGCGCTCGGCCAAAGGCATCCGAACAGGTTCAGAAGCATCCGTGCGCTCGACCTTGCCACGCATCTCAGCGAGAGCCTGAGTGGTGCTTTCGAACCACAAGCGGCGAGCAATGCTCAGAAGCCCGTCGTCCGGAGCTGAGCCCAAAGCACGTTTCAGCATGCTGATGAGTGGACCCTCATCGGTCGTTCCAGCTTGAAGAGGCCCGATGAAGGCGAGGGCTCCGAAGGTGTCCACATTGATGGCCGCCAATTTGGCCAGGGTCTCCTCGGTAAAGTTGAGCTCGAGTGCCCTGGCCTTGAAGGCCGCTTTGCTGTCGAGGCTGGACATGATTCACACGGCAGCCGGCTTGAACAAAACTGCATACATGTGGACAAAAGCTGTAAAGACTCCAGACGTTCGCAGATTACGCAATGCACCACACAGCGAGAAGGAGCGCCCAGGACGGTGCCGGATACCGGGGATGCAGAAAACAGCTTGTAAGAAAACATTGTTCCAAGGCGTCCAACGGCTTGGGGTTAAGGTGCCCCGAGTACCGCCAGCGCAGATGTAGTTGCTCATAGACCCGGCTTGGCACCACCCTTGAGACCACTGCAGGCTGGGAGAGAAATTTCTCCGATTACCTGGGTCTTTCGGCTGCTCGTGCTGAAGAGGCTTTCTTTTGCGAGAATAGCAATACGTGCGCCAGCTATTTAACTGGCTCGGTGGATTTGGCTGCACCGCTTACAAACAAGCAGATCAGAGGCCGGTACGGCCTTGTCCAGCTCGTCAAAATTGCGGGTGATGGGTCGGCCACACAAAAATTTGGCACCTTCAGCAGCCTGTATATGCACTGTACGACTGTAAATGTGCATCTTGCTGTATACAGAAGAGATCTGAGCAGCGTTCAAGCCTTCGTCCAGGGGGACTCCACCGGCTCGGGCCTCCAGATCCTCTGGGCTGATGTCGGAATCACCAGCTTCGGAATCGGAGACATAGGGGTCCTGCTCGAGGAGTTTCTCCTGCAGCTGAGGACCTGACTCAGCCTGAACCATGACAGCTAAACGCATCACGCGACTGTCATCAGGCTTAAAGTGGCCGGAACGGATGGCTTTCAAGATATCCTCGAAAATCTTCATCAAGCGGCACAGCTCGTCACGGCTGTAGGTCAGAGGGGACCGGGAATCAGGGTCCAAGTGGTGCCCTGCAATGCGGCGGTCCTCCAGAGAAACGCCTCCGAATTTGGCTAGCCAGCTAAGAAAAGTGGCCTTCATACTGTGACTGCTGATGCGGGACTCCGAAGGAATGTCAATGTGACTGGCTACGAGGAACTCACGCAGGTACATGGTAAGCTCACCAGTAGACATGCGACGCTCCAACCAAGACTGCGAGGCTTCGCTGAATGCAGGCAGTGACGGATTGAGGCCGAGGCCAGCATCAGTTCGGGCTTCCATCCACAGCGGCGCCCAAATCGTGGGGTACACGAAAGATCCCAGGCAGAGCAGCGGCAGAAGGATGGTCTTCCGTTCGCCAGTACCAGTCTTGTAAGATGCAGACGATGCTTCCAAAAGATGCACGGTTCCCGCACTCTGAAGCTCCAAAGATTTGAGGTGGATTGTATCCGAAAAGCGAGAACAGCTTCCCACACAGAAAAGAATGTGCGCAGCAATCACACGCCAATGAGGATACGGAGGCTTCACCACAATCCTTTCCAGAGCCCGAATCATTGGAACTGACAATGGTGAGGCCTGGACCAGCGGCTTCTTAGTGGCCGCCAACGCTGCAGCAGCTCCTCGCACACGGCCTGACAAAGGAGATTGGCCTGCAAGTTTTGCGAAGCCCAGCAGCGCTGACAGAAAATTCCAGCTTTCAAGAAAGGCCTTGGCCGATGTAGGAGCCCCGTGGGCCTGCAAGTCCTGGATATATGCATAGACAGCCGCCTCGCTCGCTCGAAAGGGCGAGCCAAAATCGAACATCAAGCAAAACTCGGCAAACTTCCAGAAAGAGGAAGCTCGTTTGGCCAATGTTGCAGTGCTCTTTGTAGCGAACGTGTCAGCAAAGGACTTCTGAAGTCTCTCAGGGTCAGACAAGATAGCGGCCTCGCCGATGAGAAGCCGCCCCAGCTCCGATGCAGCAGGATCAAGTAAAGTCAGGGTCTTAATCTTACGTAAAGCCTCAAAGCGCACAGAATCATCCGACCGAATCAGCGCAGCAAAACGAGCCCGCTGCCGAGCAAAGGCCTGAGTGGCCGAGGGCAAAGCATCTTGCGGAGCCTGCTGTATCGCCGAACTGACGCCGGCAGCAAGCTGAGGCGGTGGGCTTGGGAGGGGAACCAAGGGTGCAGGAGGCCTAGGGGACCCAAAGACTAGACCAAAAACCCCGAGATCCCACGGCATCCGAATGCATCCGGAGCGGGAGTCACACAATTGTGTATGCGAGATTAGATCGCCAAGATCATCAAGGCCTCGTTTCGTCATGACTGATCACACACTAGTCTAGTTCGTCGAGGCGGGAGACCTCGAGCTGCGATGCTACCACACAAAGCTGGTGACCTAAGTTCTGAAGCTCGGCCTGCAAAGCGGAAGTGAAGCGCTCCCGCCAACGCAAAAGAAGCTGTAACTCAGGCTCCAAGCGATTGACTGAGTCAACAATCTGGGTAACCACGTTAAGAGATGCTACTTCAGATCGAAGACTGACCCCTGGCTGTGTCGAAGAAAAGCAATGCTTGATTACTGCGTTGTCTTGTTCCAGCGCCTCCACACGAAGCACTGTAGCGTTAAGCCGTCTTTGCACTTCACGCAGCTCAGAAATCTGCGTTTCAAGAGTGGACACACGACGCTCAATGCAGAACAGACGGAAGTCTGCAGCTCGCAGAAGCTCAACGGCCTCTTCGATGCTATGGCCAGGAGCCAAGTCCATGTACCCCCCTTTCGGGGTAAAAGCTCCCCCCCCGGACGAGTGGAGAGGTGAAAATTTTAGCAAAGCTCTGCACAGTGCATGCTCAAGTTGCGTAGCTCATGAGCAGACTAAGTTGTCTTCATGTTGCACATGTGCGCTGAGCCATGCTGTGTTGAGCGGCGCGGGTACCGACATATGGTTCAACTTCGATCAACATGTGCAGTCAGAATGCATGTGTTGTTTGAGTGAAGTTGTGAGTTGATCTCAAATTGGTTTCAAAGAAAATGTTGTAGAAATGGTTGTGAGTCAAAAGCTCACTTCAAACATGCAATAAACAAACGATAAATAATTAATCATTGCGCTGCTGGACCGGCAGCTATGAAAACAGAAAAGACAACTTAGTCGCTCCGCGAAATCGCCTGGAGGTGCGGAAAAGAAATGCAGATAACGCGCGATCCAGTTGTTGCCAGACTCCCCGGCGATTCTTCATGATCAACTGCTTCTGCTCTTCCGTCTTGTGTGCTAAGGCGTGCTGATACAAGTTGAAGATGTCACAGGTTTGCTTGCCAATGCACCCACGCCAGTGCAGCAATCGTCCTGGAACCAGCTCGTTCCAGCTGTAATGTGTAGAGGTGAGCAGATCTTTCCGGATACCCAGAAGCACCCCGCCCTGCTTCGGTTTGGGAGCAGGGCTGTGAACCAAGTACCAATCCCCAGACTGCCACTCCCCTTGGATGCTCCAATGTGTTTCTTGCAGAGCTATGATTCCAACAGAAGGCTGTGTCTTCAACCAGACCTGCAGCTCCAGAAACAGTTCGGTAGACAGGCCTGAGCAGTTCCAGCATATGCTTGAGATTCTGGGCGGCTCCCATTGCTTTTGTCTCTGCACTGCGCGAAAAGGAATCTCTGGCTGCCAGATATGCGTCGCCCTTTGTAGATCGCAGACCCTTCCATAGCAGCTCGTTTCAATGCCCTTTTTGTAAGATCGTTTGCACACCCTTGAGGCCCCTTGTCGCTGATTGGGCCCTGTCGCCTAATCGTTCGTCCCGGCTGGGACTTCAGTGGGGTCTGAGGCTCCACCCACTACCCTCGTGCCTGCCAGCGCAGAAGTTCGCGCCCCTTTCCACAATGTTGCTGGCACCCGGACTTGGGACCGGGATGAGGAATTCATCTCAGAATGGGGGTTTCACACGGATATAATGATCTTCACAATTCAGTCGCAGCGTCAGATCGCTCATGCGCGCCTTTAGGCGCCGCAAAATGAAAGCTTCCAAAGGAAGCAGAGCTGCGTTTTCTTTCGTTTTGTGGCCCAGTTTTACGAAACCTGTAGGTTGAAGAAAGATCTCCAGGCCATGCCTATGCCCCCCGTAGCCTGAGCCGCTCGTGGCACTTTACTACTACTACTACTACTACTACTACTACTACTACTACTACTACTACTACTACTACTACTACTACTACTACTACTACTACTACAACTACAACTATTTTCAATTGAACGCTGCGCGAGCGTGCTCTGCGCTTTGCGGGCGCCTTTGGTCTCGTGCACTCGTGAAACTGCTTCTAGCATGCATCGCTCATACCTCTCGAATCAGCTCAAACTAGAAAAACTACAGCTACAAAAGCTTCCTCCTCCGACACCTTGGAGTGAACAGACGCGTCCATCTGTGCACCTGTCACAACAATTAGGCCGTACCTCAGACGAAGCCGACACCTGGAGTATCCGTCTCGTGGCGCCCCACACGGATTACTCATGTTGAAGACAGAAGGCCGTAAGGGTCATATGCCCGTGACCGCATGTACCTGAATGCATCTCCGATGGAGTGAGGCTGTTGGCAACTTGGACGTGGGCAGCTCTCTGATGCAGCGATGTGCTGTTTTAAGCAAGGTTAGCTCGCGGTTCACAGGCTTCCAAAGAGATTTGCTAAGCGTCGGAAGAGTTCCGAATTCCCAGAGTCTGTGACACAAGGGATCAAAGAGTCTGTGACATATCTCTACCCTCACTGGTCGTGACCTTTCGGCCACTGCTGGGAGTAACTGTGCCAGGACCACTGCTGCCACCAGTCCCAGTCGTCCTCTTGAGAGGAGCGTGCCTGCCTGGCCCACTGGGTCGAGGATGAAGAGGAGGGGGCATCGCGCTGTCGCTTGCCCTCTGTGTCAGCCTCTTGCAACTGTGGGCGCTTGTTAGGGGCAGCAGCAGCCAGTTTGGCCATGCGCTTGTCTTCCTCGTGCCCCTTGTCATGCTGAATCCGCATCTTCATGATGGAGTAGGCATCTTTGTTGGGTTTGACCCTGAAGACACGAGCTGGGAGTCCGGCTGATTTGGCCGTCTCATTGTAGACTGCCACGATGGTAGTGGCGATCATGTTGAACTCGACCCACGAGGGGAAGTGCTGCTGAAAGTCCTTCTCGTCCCACATCTTGTTGAAGCAGGCATGGATAAGGCCATGCACCTTTGTGGGGGCATCCAGCTCACGATAGGCTCCTCCCGCGCCTGTGGCTATAGTGACCTTCCCATCGCTGGTGAGGACCCGCCTCACCGACATGGCGATGTCCCATGTGAGGCCTGTTTGTGTCCTTACTGACTTGATGGCAGAGAACAGCGGGGGAACCTCGCGGAGTGCGTCCATCCTGGTAGACCAGAGGGTCTGTTGCTCATGGTTGGTGAGGCCGCCGAGAATGACGGGAGCCACCAGGATATTAATGGAAGCCAAGGCCCGAATCCAGTCCTGGTGGGACTGGGAGCTCAGCAGTTGAGCCAGCTCCTGCCTCGTGTATCGTACTGTCTGTTGTGGAGCCGGCTGTGGAACATAGCCAACGGGTGCCGCATTGGTTTCCGGGGGCTCATATGCTGACGGGGGACGGGGGAAAGGAGGAGGGGGCGTGTGGGAGCGCGCAGCGGCCAGGGTGGCAGGGGCAGAGGAAGAGGCGGACTTGGGAGGGTGCGGAGGGATCGGGGAAACAGGGATAGCCGGAGGGGGAGCAGGGGCTGTTGAGGAGGAATTCTCCGGAGGCTGGGGGCATGGGGTGGGCACCATGGACGGTGGGGCCTTAGCCGGAAGCGCTGGGGCCGCCTTCGGTGCTTCCGCCTGGCTTGCCTTGAAAGCTGCCTTTTCAGCCGCTGAGGAAGTGAAAGGGCACGGGGGGGAAGGCGGCAGCTCAAAGCCGGCTGCTTTGTCTGTTCCTTTGGTCCTGGTACTGCTGGGGGGAAGAGGAAACTCCTGTGGGTGCTTTGGGGGAGGGGGAGGAAGTGGTGCGAGAGATGCCGACAAGTCGCTTGGTGCCGGAGGTTGTGACACCGGGTCATGCTTCTGCGTGACAAAGTGGTTTTTGAGGCCGTGGCCAGTGCTGAACTGGATCTGTCGGTTATGCTTCCGGCAGTGGAGGCAGCACAGCCACATGGATCCTGAAACCTCCATTTGTCCCAAGCCGCGAGGGATGAGCTCCAGCACATCCTGCTCTGTAAGATCTTGGTTATAATGATGGGTCTCGCGGACTGTGGCCATGAGCGCCGCAAAGGAGTTGTGCTGGATGCTGTCTGCCACATAGGTTTCAATATCCTCCTGAGTAGGAGGAGGAGGAGCTGATGTGGCGGTTGCCGTGGTCTGTGACCTAAGTGGCTGAGGTGAGCTGTGCTCTTCAGGTCGATCGGACTGGATTTCCAGGGAGATGTCGGGAAGCTGGCTCTGCAGCATGCGATCGGTTCGTTCCTTGGTGGTGGGGTCTCCCTGAAAGCCCTTCATCCACTTCCAGCACCTGGTGTAGGCGACTGTCGTGTTGTTGGCTGTCACAAAGTAGTGGCCATCGTTGTCATACTTTTTGTTCTTCACGCGCTTGTCCCAACGCTCTGAGAACAGGTAGATGGGGCCAAACTTGGCGGAAACATTCCAGCCCGCTTGAGGGGAATGACCAAGGTCTCGACTCAAGATCTGCCAGAGAAATTTGCAGAAGATCATGTATTCCAGGTTCGCCTTCGCTGTCATAACCTGACGGCTGAAGGCGTGCTGTATGGCCTCCCTCATCAAAGGGTGCCTGGGCTTGCCATAGATGATGCCTTGAAAGATGTGATCTCCTTTGACTCCAATGGCCATGACCATGAACTCCTTTGGGAGTTGGCCAGGTGGGGAGGGTCTGTGACCCACTTCACCTGCCTTCGTTGAGTGAGCTGTGCTCCAATCTGCTGCCAGGAGCTGCAGTACCTGTTCCCAGGGTACCACAAAGCCACATTTGATATCGACATAGAGGCCGCCGTGCTGGTAGTGGTAGACGTAGCGGAACACGTCAGCTCTATGAGCAGGTTGACTGAGGCGGTCCAGCAGATTGGAGCCGTACTTTCCGGCGAGTTGCCGCAGGGTAGCCCGAAGGATACCATCGTCACAGAATTTGCGGGTGAAGCCTGCAAACATTTTGACCGCAACTTGGGCGGGCTCCGGCTTGTCGTCGTGGACATAGGTCTGGAAGAGGAGGGCCGGGACGGGGGCGGCCTCCCATTCTGGGAGATGCATGAAGCGCATACCCCAGGGGCCATGTCCGTACTGCATGGCTACCTCCGAAAGATCTCGGACAGTGCGGCATTGTGACAGAGCCTGGGCTGCCAGCATTTCGACATGCATGTCCTGCTGGCGAGCATTCCAGCCAGCAACCACGAGGACAGGCAGTCCTGGGGTGTTGCGCATTTCCTCGATGGCTCTTGTGACAAGTGCCGGGATGACGATGTCCGCAACATCGGGGCGGAAGTGGAGATTCTTGGAGTTGTAGAGCCATTCTACCCCTCCTACACCAGGTATCTGTGCCAAATCCATGATTTCCTGATTGGGCAGGTTTTTGTCCGCAAAACCATATTGGACCCTGCCGTCTATCAGGTAGTCATAATTGACTTGCTTCTCCGGGCGCAAGCTTCTTGACAGCGGAATGAAGCGAACGTTGATTTGTCCATCAAGGTGGCTCTCCAAAATGGAGGCCACCGGCTGACTCTGAACCGCCGCCTTGAATTTGTGCGGCCCAAAGAGGCCAAATTGCCAGTGGAGGAGCTCCATGATGGAGGGGACGCTGCTAGCAGAAATGTTGAGGGCCGCGCCTGGACAGCTTAAGACCTGTCCCGTCAGCAATGGGAACACTCCGTACGTATGTCCCCGCAGCATGTGCTGCAAGGTGCTATCGCTGAGCACCAGAAAGGGTCCCAAACTTGGAGGGGTGTCCATGGTCTCAGCTTTAGCTGACGGGCCAGAGTCTGTGACACGCGGCCAAAGGTGAGCTGTGCTCTTCGCGGAGTCGCAGTTTGTTCTGAAGTCTTAGCTTCTGCAAGGCATGTCTGTAGAGCAAGCTGTTTTACTTCTGCTGCTGCCTACTGTATCGACAGTTCGAACTGACAGCTGCGGTATGCATGCACAGCATTACAGAGTCTTATGGCCAAGCACGAAGCTCAGGGCAACGCAGGACGAATGGAGACAAAGAACATCAGCAGAGGGCACGCGAGCAAGGACTGCTGGTGCCGTGTGGTAGCTGGGGCCTCGGATTGCAGGATAGAGCAATCGATGATGCAGCAGTAGCTGGATTCAGGCATGCTGCAAGATCAATTTCTCAGGGCAGGTGGGCAACACATCTCGGACTGTGACTAGTTGGGTGGCTGTGCCACACCTAAGCGGAGGCTGTGCCATATTCCTAGCATGAGTCGATGACATCCCTGTGGCTCACAAGTTCTCAAAGAGACTGTAGTAGTGGTCATAGAGAACACTGTGAACCTCTTCGCCTCTGCTGATTGTTGCTGCTTGCCCGTCTTGGTTGAGGGGGTTCAGGAACTTCTGCACCGCGACGTGCTTGCTGTGCTGAATGTGGATGGTGAGCTCTTCAGACGCAAGGTACCACTGGGGCGTGTCAAAGGACTGGACCATGACGCGTAGGTCAAGAGACATTGCTGCCCTGGCCGTGCGGTAAGGACTTACAAAGAGCTTGTG